GCGTCCGAGCCATCCCAATGCGCCAGGTTGGCTGCCAAGGCGGCCAGCGGCAGGTCCAGCCCGAGGCCCGCGCCCGGCGTGGCCGCAAGCTCATGAACCTTGGCCGCGTTGGAAAGGCTGTATGGGGCCGGGCTGAGCTTCCTGCCCGCCGCCGCAGGCGTGCCGACCCGCGGGCGGGACGGCCGCGTGGTTTGACCCCGCCCAATGACCGAGACGGTCGTGCCCCGGAGCATGGCGGCCCCGAGCCACTGCCGGCCAGCCGCGCCTGCCCGGTCGTGCAGTGCGACCATTGCCTCTGGGCGGTCCTGGCTGTCGATGGCTTCCGCCTCTTCAGAACGTTTTCTGTGGCTGGCCTGCCCTGGGGCGCGCAGACGGCGGACGCCTCGAGGTCAACGAGGTAGGAAGCCAAACTGTCCCCCCCCTGCCCCCTAGACGTCGCCCAAGCCGCGCTCCATCGCCGCGAGACTGCGCCCGGCCCACGGCTCTTCCAGGAATCGGGCCTCCGCCGAGCACAGCGCGATGACCTTGTAGCAGCGCTAGTCCACGTGAGGCCGGCCCTCGTTGCGCTTGTGGTAGTTCTCCTGCAGGAGCTACATCGCTGGGACCAGGCCGAGCCGGAGGCCCAGGGTTGCCATGCCCACCACTGACCCGAGGGCCCCCAGGTGTGCGAGTGAAGGAAGGCGTACGGGAAGCCCTTGCATTGGGCCCAGGGCGGATCCCCCGCAACGCTTTGCCAGCCTCGTACAGCGTGAAGGCCTCAGCGGCGTCCCAGCGGCTCCGCATCGCGGCCGCGTGGTCCGCGCCCCACTCCTGGCCCAGTGGCGGGTCGTCGCGCCAGAGGAGATACCTGCGGGCTCCGTCGAGGACCTGCACTGTGCCCACTCATACGCGGCCACTGTCCTCAGGCTGTTCCATTCGTACTAAAAGGCCACATCGCCCAATTAACTTCGAGCATCCAGAACGCTGGCGACAAGCTGGCGAAGTGCCGAACGAGTATCGACTTCTGGGGCCCGACGCGTTCAGATTTTCTCAGGGGTGTCGCCATCTAGGGCCCTCGAATTTCGTTTCTTTCTTGGTGCTCGAAATGGTCGGGCGTGTCCCCCTACAGGGGGATTTTCGACGAAGACTAACGCATACTCAACAAATACTCCAAAATGGTCATAAAATGCCCCTAAAATAATCCCCCGACTTTTTCCCACTATTTTTGAATTTCCTCCGTGTAGAGGGACAGGCCCGACTTAAGGCTGAGCTAGGTCGGTACATCATAACACTGTCCTCTGGGTGCCGCATGATGGCCGGAAGGCCTGCTGGGTGCTCCGTTGAGTACTGCTTGACGGCCGCGGCGGCCGCGAGCGGGTTCACGAGGCGGCGGCGCGCGCCCTCTCGGTGGGCCTGGGCCCTCTTGTCCCGCGCGGCTCGCAGCCGGAGTTGGGCGCGCGCAGGGCCGCCCGCGACTCCGCAAGATCGGCGCGCTGGTGCTGGGCTGCCGCATTCGTGGCCTCGAGGAAGTCCGCCGCCTCGGCCTGGTCTGCCGCGCGCCAGCCGCTGGCCTTGTCCCTGGGCGACCCCGCGAGCTCAGCCACTAACTGCGACCAGTGTAGCCGTCACCCGCCACGCCCAGGCCGCTGTGTCTGACGCAGCCCTCGCCTCCCGCCACGGCGCTCGCCCCCAGGAGGGCTCGTGGCAACGCGCCTCCAGCTCGCCGCGGAGGGTGGCGTAGATTGCGCCGGCCCAGTGCGCCACCGCCCACTGCCAATCATCGGCGCCCATGCTGTGTCGGAGCGCTCCTCCTTGGGCCCCCGAGGCCGCGCCCTCGAGGACCGTCGTCCACGTGACCGGCTGGTGGTCGAGGTCCCAGGAGCCGAGCGCCAGCGCCCGCGCCTGGCACATGCTGAGGCTGCCGCCGTGCTCCCTGCCGTGGGCCTCGTCGTGGCCCTGGGCCGCTCCGCGCGTGCCTGCTGCGGGGCTAAGCGCCACGTCCTGCCGCCGCCCGCGGATATGGGTGGCTACCGCCTCCGGGATCACGTGGTGGAGGCCTCTCCTGCTCATCTCGGCGGGCCACCTGGGCGTCGATATCGTCGCCCTTCTCCTCCTCCTCCTCCTCCTCCTCCTCCTCCTTCTTTTCCTCCTGCTACTGTTCCTGAATCTCTTTTCCCTCCCTCCTCCTTCTCCGCCTCCTCCTCCTGCTAATGCGGCTATTGTGATACCATAAAGGGGCGCTCAACAAGGAACGAGGGACTTTTTCTGGCCGTTGTGAGCTTCGGCCACGGACGTGCTCCCCGACCTACAATCTGAGAAACGGTCCGAAAACAAGAACCCTTCCTGAGCCCAACGTGGTCATTATTCCAACGTCTTGGCTGTACTCCTCTTCCCCCCCTCCCCCTCCAACTACTCCCCCTGCCCCTCCTCCTTCTCCATCTCCTCCTCCTTCCTCCTCCTCCTCCTCCTCCTCTCATCTCTCTCTCCTCCTCCTCCTCCTCCTCCCCTCCTCCTCTGCCTCCTCCTCTCCCACTCCACCTCTCCTCCTCCCTCACTCTCCTCTCCTCTCCGTCCTCCTCCTCCTCCTCCTCCTCCTCCTCCTCCTCCTCCTCCTCCTCCTCCTCCTCCTCCTCCTCCTCCTCCTCCCTGCTCTGCCTCCCAGCAGCCCGCCCTCGGGGCAGCCGTTCCGAGGAGGCGGCCGCCGTCGGCTCGCGCGCTGCAGGAGCTGAAGGCGGACCCCACACGGAAGAACGGCCGATCAGCAGTTCGGCGCCCCTCGCGGGTGTGGCCAGTGTGCACCACAGTTGGGGCCCGACCACATGAAGCCTTCCACAAGCAACCCAAACCTGAGACCCCAGGGCACCCATGGATTTTTGACGTGGGAACGTCGCTCTCTCCATCGCGAAACTATCGAAGCCCAAGAAACCCAGGGCACCCTGGAGGCAAGCAGGGTGTTTCTTGGCATGCGTCTCCACTGTATGGGCCCGCGGATCCGGCGCGCGGGCGCTAGGCCCACGGATCGGAGAAGGATACCCCCCAAAGAACGAAGCCTGTGCCGCCTCGTTCGACGGCGAAGCGCGCCGATTTCGCCAGTCCGCGCGCCCGAATCCATGTTCTCGTTAGGTCGGGCATATCCTCCTACGGGCGGATTTTGGAAGACAGTCTTAAACAATAGCCAAGCAATAACCAATGATAGGCCAAGAAACACGAGACACCGTCGCTGGACTATTTCTTTTCTTGCGATTCTTGAATCTCCCTCCTGTGCATTACGGTCGGGGCATTGGATAAGGAACCCTTAGATGATAAGGAAGCCAGGGTCTGGAGGCCGGTGGAACTCCAATCGAGGCTTGGCCATGGATATCACCGCCGCCCAGATTAGATAAGGAATCCTCTGGGGTCTGGCGCCTCCTGGGACTATTCCTTCACACGCGCCTTCACGGTAGTGGTTATTCTATATGATTGTCTCTTACTTCATGCCTTCGTTCCCTCGGCTCGCGGGCGCCGAAGCAACGCCCGCCCCCTCCGTCAACCAGGGCCCCTCGCGCGCCCGCTGGGCCCCCCCCGCCAGGCGAGCTCGTGCGCCGCAGCTCCGCCGGGCAGCGGCCGCCCTCGCGGCGGCCGCCGCCGCTTCTTCGGCCGGCGCTGCGGCCGTCGGGTGCCGTCGGGTGCCGTCGATCGTCGTCGTCGTCGTCGCCGTTGTCGTCGTCGTCGTCGTGGTCGTGGTTGTCGTCGTCGTCGTGGTCGTGGTCGTCGTTGTGGTCGTGGTCGTGGTCGTGGTCGTGGTCGTGGTCGTGGTCGTGGTCGTGGTCGTGGTCGTGGTCGTGGACGTGGTCGTGGTCGTGGTCGTCGTCGTCGTCGTCGTCGTGGTCGTGGTCTTCGTCGTCCGAGCGGGCTGGCCCAGATCGGCACCACGCAGGAGTGACCCCGGGCAGGAATGAGCTTTCGGGCGGCGCAGCCTGCCGTTCGCTGCGTGCGATGCGACAGTGGCGGCCTGCGTGCCTAGGCATGGCCCACGCGCCCCCCGGAAAGCCGTGCACCAAAGGTCACTCCAGCGAAGGGCCGCTCAGACGTGCAGCCGACTAGATGGGGTCGGAAGACTGCGCCGTATCAGCGATACCTTGGTGGATTGCGCCGCATCGTCGATGCGCCGGCTGGGGAAAATCGAGCTCCAGACCGCGTCGCATCGCCGACGGACTGGCGTCGCATCGCCGACAGACCCTTCGGCCCCATCTGCTCTGGCCCCGCTTGGAGCTGCCCCGGCGAAGGCTGGGCCGCCCGCAACCCCCGTCTGCCCAGAAGGAGAAGAAGAAACCACAGACATTTACCTGCGAGAGAAATTTCGGAGGTCTGCGCGGATATTCTTGGAGCGGCGCTGGACCCTCCTCCTCGGCGCGCGGAGCGCGCGCACGGGGCGGCGCCGGAGGCGCTACCAAGGGGGTTCCAGCGCCGACCCACGAAAGCCGTGCGGACCTCCAACAACGTTTATGTTGCTCCCATCGTACTTAAGGACCAGATCCCAACAATAAGTTCGAGCACCCGGAAGAGTGTCAGAAGAGTGTCGAAACAGTGTCGGGCGAGTGTCCCCCAGGGCCTGACACGTGAAAACCGTTGAGTTTCGGTACTTTTTGGGCGCTCGAGATTATTCCTGGCGGTCAAGGCTAAAGTAGGTTGGAGCATCATAAAACAACGTACGTATGTTCGTGCAGTTTTACTTTCTTCCTAGACACGCGCGTTGCACTATTCGCAATGTAACTACTCGCAAATGGCCTGGATCTGGCGCGGGGGATTCACGATTCATTACACCGATGCAAACATTTTTGTGTCTGACGTTTGTGAGTCGGCGCTTTGCGAGTAGTGGAACGCGCTCGGTGATAGGCCGCCCCAAAGCCCTCTGCCAGCTCCCCGCGTAACTAAAAACGTTTGCAGCAGCCTGCCACCCACGGTGGCCTCACGATCTTCGCCGTCGCGACGCAGGGTGGCTCGCCGCCCCGCGGCGAGGTGCACGCAGTCGCTCGCGCCGC